CCGCCCGCCGGGAGCCGTCCCGGGCGGAGGGCGGGCGGTCAGCGCGCCGCGGGCACCGACCCTGCCCCTGCCCCTGCCCCGCCTGCAGCTGCCGGCGGCCCTGGTGCGCGGGGCGCCCTGCGTGGCGTGGAAGCGGGACAAAGCGATGCATTTAGAGGAAAGGGCCTGGTTTAGATTGTTTCCTACTGAAGCAAGCTGTAATTGCCACCCTAATCCTTACACCCCGCCAGTACATTTTGTTCTTCCAGTAGAGCTTTTCAAAGTGCTAAAATAGTGTGCTGTGCGGCCTAAAAATGGCTTTAATTATTCTTACGCAATTATATTTTTTATGATGCCCGTTATGCGTGGATTTCAAAGCATTTCAGGCAAGACAATTAATACGATTATCAAGATTGTACAGTCAATGAAAATGGGAGAAGAAGATGAGTTGACTTGCACAAGTTCACACTCTTCCCTTTTGGGTTACGCCATCACGTTTTAGCGATGTCTTTTTCAGCAACTTGCACGACGAGTGTACCTGAAGCACCAGAAGAGGTTGCCCAAAGAGGCTGTGGGAATTTCATCCCTGAAGATCCTCAGAACTTGACAAGGCCCTGAGCAACTTGACTAACTTTGAAATGAGCCCTGCTCCGAGGAGATTGGATTCTGGACTCCAGAGGACCTTTCCAACCTAAATTATACCTAAGATTAGGTAAATTGCCAGCATTGTGATGTTCTGACTCTGTGTCAAGTCAAGACATATTTTCTCCACTTGAAATATATTTAGGCCAGAATAATACAGATTACTAATACACATTCAGTCAATAGATGAAATAGCAGCTTGCCTAGACAAGCTTTGAGTCCTTGGAAAAATCCTTTGCAGAGTGCGTAACAGCCCAAACTCTCCCTGCAGTGCGTACCGCTCCTCGCTAGTCCTTTTGGCTCCTATTCTGCAAATACATATGCCAGTATTTAACTATGCTGCTTTGAATAGCTCCATTCAAAGACATCTTTTATAGATGTTTGAATAGTTTAATAATATAAAAAACAGAGTGCAACAGGTGATAATATTAGAAGACCTATTTATTATATCATTGGCATCATCTTCACTGCAAGTCTTTCAGTTTTCGGTTATCTTGCTTGTTTTTAAGCATTTAAGCTGCATCGTAGTGAAAGCCTAGTGCTAATAAGGTAACTAAAGTTTTTCCATAATAAATTAACTATCAATTAATCATTCCTTTATCAGAATAGATAAAAAATACAAATTAAATACTAAGGCTATCACTGAAAAATCAAGTTACTAAGGCTTTCATTAAAGCTTTCTGTAAAAATTGTGTAATTAGCAGAAACGGTGGTTCTGCTCGCTTCCTTGAATAATACACCAAAAAACGTCCAACTGTAAACAGAAGCCAAATTTTATCAGTACCTGCATTCTACTTAGTTCAACACTGAAGTATTTTATGTAGGTCCAGGAACGTGACCCCGGTCATTAGTATCAGTCAAGAATTACTGCAGCTGAACCACACACTACATCTGCTACCCAGACGTTCTGAGGTTTCCACAAGCTTTCTATTCCAATGTATTTACTGTACCAACGTAAGTTCGCCTACTATATGCGGCAGTGTTTAACCATACATTTGGTGTTTTCTGTCACAGATATATTTTTCCTGCACATACAGCACATTAAACGCATGACAAAATATTTTACCTGCTTTAAACATTTCACTGATTAAGAGGAAACAAATTCAGACACAACATTAACACTTATCAGTTTCTGACATAAAATATTCATTTTAGTAATATAGCCTTTTCTTACAAATGGTATAAAGCAAACAAAAAGATTCAAACAGAAAGTCAAATTGAATGTTACACAAATCAAATGTTCAAGAAGGTTAAATTAAAAAAAATTTTACTGATAAAGATTTTGTTAGCTATGTTAGCATTCTTTAAAAAAAAACTTATTCAATTACATGCAGTTTAAATTTACAAAGCATAACAACTCTGTCAGTGAATGCTATAACTGAAAAACATGAGTCCAAGCCAATCTAAATTCTCTCAGGGCTCGTATCGTTGTGACAATACCTCACTATTAATAAGGCTGTTCTTCAGCATTCTGCAACAAAATCCAAAATACTCTTGAAAGATGTTATTGATGATCTTTGGTTTTTTCTTGCCTCTATAAAATGGAGATAAAAGAAAATATCAAGACAAGCGTTGACACAAAACACTGCACAACTTTAGAAAAACGCTTCAGTAGAAAAATGCTTGCCACTAAACACTCCCACACATATCCAAAGCACAGCATAAGTGCCATCTACTCCGTCCATAGAGGGCATCTCTGTGCAAGGATTTTCACAAATCATCACCAGAAAACAGACTGAGCAGAGAAAGTATCAACTTACTAATAAACATAGTGATTAATTTAGAGTCCTTAACTGAAATTTTTATCCTCTTTGTATCCTGTCAGGAGGCACTGGAAGGTTCAAAGGCTCTCTAATACTTTCCCAGTTTAGTTCTCTCTCTCCAAGCACAAGCCTCGATTGAATTACATCGGAGAGCACTCTAGCGCTTAGTGTGCACAGCACTGAACTGACAAAAAGCACAATCCCATGGGTTGCAAATTCTGATAGCCTGTCCTTTTTTTGCAAGTCAATTCACGGTCAAAAGCTGAAAACTGAGCTGACAGCATATATGATTAGTAGAAAATTAAATCATGATTACTTGCAACTGTAACCTGTAGTATTTCTTGGAAAGATCAACACTTGTCCGTCCTTTCTGAAATGGATAAGACCACAAAATTAAATTCCAGTGATTACCCATTTTTTTTACTCCACTCAAAAGACAGTTAATTTCTTCAGTTGTGAAATCTTTTCGGGTTCTTCTTCTCTTGTTTAAAGTTTTTGTGTTCACATCCATGGAATATGTTTCACTGTTCTGTAAATATTTATTTTAGTGTAATTAAAAAATATGTAAATTTACATACTATTTCACATTTGGAAGTAGCGCATTATTACTGACAATACAATCTTAAGCAGTTCTAAAGAAACGATCGCTTTGTCAAGATAACAGTGGTTCTTCAAGATTTCTTCACTGTCACCCACTTACTGAAATACAGTATTTTTCCATGACCTTTACCTTCATTTCTGTCGCGCCTACATAGTTTATACCTTTAGCATGTTTATTCCTTTAGGTTTCTGTTATTTCTACACTATGCAAATTTTCATGAGTGCAGGAAAGAGCATACCTCCGTATCCATTATTCAGAAAGAACTGTCAGTTGAAAAATGCTTAACTCGCTTCAGGAATAAATCAGTGTGACTGGAGTAGAATCACCAGAGAGGAATATTTTTTAATAAGGCTCACTTTGCTACTGGGCTCCTGTTAAAGGTGACTTAAAAAGAAATTATGCAATTCACAGAGATTTTATCTGGACATTTATAAATACATGAGTGTATGATTAGGCTTTGCATAACTAACCTCATCTTTGTCAAGTGAGTATTTGCAATTTTCTTTTAAGCGCTGACATTGCTGGTTGCACATTTCTTTGACTCTTTGTCTCTTCAAGTTAGCATCTTGGTTTTTTTGGAAAGCTATGAAATTGTGAACAAGGCCACCTCTTAGTTACTTTAAACTGAGATCTGCTGTAAAACTGAATATAGTGTTGTAAAGGGCCGCTTCTTCTAATGAACTTGAATATGTGAATGTTGCTTTATTAGTAACATCTTATTTTCATTACATCTTTTTCTCATCATTGACATTAACACATGAGGATTATTTATGCATTGGAAGCAACTAGCAAATAACA